TAGACAATTCTTCTTGTGAGCTAATTTTGTAGTGTCATAATTAAAAATTAAAGGTTGAGATTTAAGTACCTAAATTAAAGTTCTAACCATGATTAAAATAACAAATAATTTATTTATAATATTTCCTAATTAATGCCAATCTCATAAGTCATAATTCTAGCTAAAATGATCTCAATTCATAAATATATCTAAATTTCTTTCTTTATTAAAAATGATTTTTTTAAATATTCTTTTTAAAATTTTAACATTATATGTTGATTAGATTTCTAACGATTTTCGGTAAGGCCTAAGCATTAGATGACTATTTTTCTAATGTTTGATGGAAATGTAAAGAAGAACAGGGAAAAAATTAAAGAACTCCTACATTACCAAAAAAGAGGACAAAAAACAATACTAGAGTATCTTTTTTTTTAAAAAGAAGAGCTCGCAATCAAATGGAATTTTCTGAAATGACTTTTGAGATAATTTTTAGCTAGAAATATGGATTTGATATTTTTTCTAAGAAAATAAATAAATTATTTGTTATTCTAATCATGGTTAGGACCTTGATTTAGATAATTAAATCTCAACCTTTAATTTTAATTATGACACATGACTTTCATTCGAGTAGGAACTTGGGGAAATGGAGAGAGCCTCATCCAACATATCATATCTTTACCGTTTCGAATATTAGGCATTGCGTCAATTATAGATCTAGAATTCCAGAGATCATTAGTTGATTGACAAATCAAATCCTTCTAATTATCTTCATATATTTTAAAATTGTAAGTTCATAATTTGTATGTTGTGAGGTTAGCTTCATAAATCAGGATTAGTGTGAACTATGAAGTATGGAATATAATTCATTTTAACTTCAAATAATAATAATTAAAAAAAAAATTCATTCTAACTAGTGTTATCCCTCCGCCGGAGATAATAGTGACAAACAAAATTCATTTTAAAAAATTTGATAAAAGAAAATCATCTACTATTATTATTGAAATATTTTATAAAATATTTAATATTTTTTTTCAGGACTATTTTTAGTGTTTCAATTAGTAAAAGTTTAAAATGTTAGTTAAGTGAAACGTTTAGAGAGTAGATTTGGAAAGCATTCCAGAAACTAGCCTATGCCTACTGTCATGTCACTGCAAGCAAACATTCTAGAAAACAATTTAATGTTAAAACATGTACTATGTAATAATTTGACTATTACTATCACAAAACAAATTAGCTTTTAGCGACAATAAATATAATTAATATTTTTATGGACATTAGTTAGTTGTGGATTCCATATAAAGTAGTTAACTACCTAATAATGAGCTATGTGGATTGTTTTAGATTATAATAATAGCTCATTGTATATATACCAAAATGTCAAAGAATAGTTTCATCATTATTTATAAATTTAGACGTCAAATCATAAAAATTAGTTGGAGTAATTATAACCAACAAAATTAGATCAAAACAATGGTTGTTTTGGCCACATTATTCAGTAGTCACTTTTACTCCAAGTTTTTCCTAATTGATTTTTAAGTCATATCTCACAAAAGTAAGAGAGTATAGTATGATTATTAAAAATCTACTTTTCATTCCAAGCACATCTCTTAATATAACGAATTTCTTATCTTTCAAAAGAATAAGCTTCATAGTTATTGATCGATAGCATTACAGTCAAACTATTAACATGAGGCAAATTAATTTGGTGAATTTCGCATACTTTAAATATATTTTTTAAAATCTTTTTCCGTACTAATATATATGAAAATGAAACTCAAGTTTTTGAACTAGTAAGATGAGCAATAGAGGCAGATTCAGAATACATGTAAAAAAAAACTTGTTAAATATACTAATCAAATAAGATCGATCATACACATTTCGAGATTGTGTCTTTGATTTTCTGTCACATATATAAAACCTTCGTCAACAAAATTTTAATCATAAATTAGAGTAGTTTGTCTCGATGGTGATATATAATTACATGTATAATCCCATTATGTTTAAGATATACAGTAGTTCACATCATACTATGAGCTCGCTTTGTTACTACATATGTGATATGTCATGACAACAATCCCATATATAGCCTTTAATTTGTTGGCCTTTTCTGTTATGCTGCTGAATAGTTCAAACCTATCATTCATTTACCTTTATTTTTGGACCTGTAAAAGGTCAAAAACCAAATAATGAAATTCTTTTGGCATATTGATTGATTGCAAGAAAGTTGGATAGTATTTTGTTGTAACAAAACACCAGAATTTAGACTTTCTCATGGAAAACATTCATTTTGTAAAAATGACCTTGATCATACGTACAAAAAGACATTCTGAAGTTATTTCCAAGGTATAAATTAAGAAACAAATATTGTGTTGTAGATAGACTTACCAAGAGTTAGATACTGTTGCAGGAGTCTCAGAATTGTGTAGCTCAGGCTGGCTCAACTAGAGATGGATAGGGGAGTTTACTTCCCTACGAATAGTGAAGTAATATGGAGTGCTACTGACATTTCCATTCAACGTATGTGCATGAGAAAATTCTCTTTGAATATGAAAAAAGAATTTACTCGCAGCTAGTGTTGTTTCAAATGAATGAATACATTTGTGTTATGCATATGAGTATTTAATTTAGTCAGTATCCACATTTTGTGAGTTGTTGAATGATGGAAGAGTTCCAAATTTTCTTGATGCATTAGACTCCCCTGTTTGAGTTAAAACATAAATTAGCAATACTTGTTATATATCCTTTTTCCAATCTCTCTTTTATGTTTGAAAGTTACTGCTATTTTGCATAGATTCTTCTTGAATTTCATTCTGTATTATTTGCTCTTGCACCAATCAAAGGACATTAGCTGGGCTTTTAAGTTCCAATGATACAGTTGCATATTATCACGTATCGTGTTGAATTGATTACTGACCTTTTTTTTTCACAGGAATGTCCCTTAAGCTCGTTTCAAGTCGAGCCTCCAGATTCTGCAGGTCCTTAATAGTTAAACCAGAGAGCTGTTCTCCCATAGATTGTCTGGTTTATCAGATATCTATTGTATTAGCTAGGTTACAAAGATTTCACTACGAAATGTTATCTTTTGTTCAGATTAATCAAAAGGCATGATTTGTGATGTTAACACTGTCTAATGCTTGAATTAGACTACGAAGTTGAAGTATCACGAGTAATACACAGTACCTATGAGTAATTTATTGCAGTTCCTCTAACTGTTGCCGCAAAATTGCTGCCTCTTTCTGCCAAAGCTAGCAATTAAACTGTGAATATATACGAGATATTCTCGTGAAATTAAAGATACATGTAGATTTTCCTATTTCATGTTTCTGGTTACGAAAACCACACAGAGAAAGAAGATACTCACTCCTCTTGAAAGCATCTCAGAGTCTCAATTTCACTTACCTCTCTGAGCTGAAGACGTTGTATCCATTTTTCTAGGGAACTAAGTGTCATGTCCCGCCACTGACCTAGTCAGATTTTCGCGTCCGGATAGGGGCGGAGGATTTTGGAATTGAGAGGAGGTTTATGGAAAACTCTAGAACACCTTAGATATTTCATGAAAGCCTTGGAATATCCTAGAGTATGTAGAGAGTTCTAGAGAGGGACCAATGTGTAATATTTTAGGGACTTGTAAAATAATTTTAATTTACACTTTAGCCTTTAGGTGGTAGTATAAATAGAGGTGTCATTCATTTGTAAGACATCACTCAACTTGTAAAGCATTCTCCAAGTTAATACAAAAGTCTTCTTCCAAAAGCTCTCTTGTTCTAAGTCTTTCTTTGCATTCTCTTAGTGATCGTAGTCTTAAAGGCTTGTTTGAGCTTGCAAGATCTTGAAAGAGTAGTGAGTAAGTTGTCAAGCGCCGCACGGAGCTTTAGCGAAAACTCTAAGTCCATGACATAAGTCTGCTAATTTATTCAACACATTGGATGTGCGGACTGCTAATAAGCAGAGACAAATCTCGTCCCTAGCTTTAGAAATATCTTGTTTAATCTGTACATATACACGAGATATATTTTCATGTATAAGTATTTATTGATCGAGCTGAAAGTAATAGGTTGAGTTGAACTTATTGTTGCAACTAGAAATATTGATATATTCACAACCTTATATAGCTATATAGCTTGGTGCTATACTTGAGGAATTAAGTGTCACGTACCTTCAGTTGTGAATTGTGATACTGGGTTGTGCAATTGCTGATATTCACCTTTCGTTTTACTGTATCGTTCAACAATTGATTTCATACTGCCATTTAAAACACAAAGAAAAAAAAAAAGATTTATACTCACACAAACATCTGTAACTTATTTTAGATCACAAGTTTTAAAAGCGAGTCTTTTTTTAAACTCCGTGTCAAGTCAAACTACAACACATATACTAAACGAAGAGAACATAATCTTTTCACATAGTACGAATAATCTATTCACACCAGTGGCGGATGCAGGATTTTCATTGAGGGGTTCAAAAAATAAATAAGCACGCAACAAGCTAAAACTCGCGAAGTCAAGAAGAGTTGGCTGAATCTTGAACCAAGTCTTTAGCTTATGTTGAGGGATTTTATATATATATATATATATATATATATATCAATAAATCGATCCTATAAATACAGTGTAATTTTCCAACGAAGGGAGTTCGAATGAAACCCCTTCGCTCCATGTAGCTCCTCCTCTTCTTCACGCCAAACCTAAGTTTCTTTTTTCTTTATAAAATTTAAAATGGTTAAGAGTTTTTTCTTGTTTTTTTTATACAGAATATAAATATAATCCAAATTTTATATTAAAAAGTTGAAATCATAATTAAAAAATTCAAATTTGAATATTCATTATTATAAATGTTTAAAATCATGATTTGAAATTCTAACTTCATATAGCATGTCCAATTAGTGCTACCTAAGTCAACTTTAAAGTTAAGTTATTTCCAAATTCATTTTTTAAACTCACGTGCAGACAAACCAAAGATCAAATTAATATATAATAGAGACACAGTCGAATTTTTTAGCAGTATATATTATACCCATCTAACTTTAATAGTAGTAACATTGTAGATGTTTCTTAGCATCAATACCCTTTCCTTTCTCATTTTTTCACCACTACAATACAATTTTCTGTCTCAAAATACTTGTGTGTAGAATTAAAGGTTTAAATGGAGAATCAATTGGGTCTTTTGAGAATTCGTATCATCAGAGGAATTAATTTGGCCATTAGAGACTTGAGAAGCAGTGATCCTTATGTTGTTGTTAGGATGGGCAAACAGGTAATTTCTCCCCTTCTCTTTCACCTCTTTTTTTTCTTCCTCTTATTAAATTGGAAAACATAAATTTGTCTTTGTCCTCAAAATACCCTTCTTTGGCCATTTTGCGTGCTGAAAATTGCGTACGGCAGACGCTGATGATTATCAAATCAAAATTCTGTAAAGCAAGACGATAAAACCAAAGCTTGTTTATATTACCTCTATTTTTGTTGTGTGTATTGGAAAATTGTGTTAATTGTAAACAATTTTCAGTACTTCACCATTCAAATGGATAAAAAAGAGATCATCAAAATTAAGTGACTTTCTAGGAAAAGACTCGCAGTGACCATCTCATAAAAAAGAAGAACAATAATCTAAGATGAACTTCAACAGATGATGTGATTTTCAGTATCTTCACTAAAATAAATGGAGCTCCAAATTGCAGTGTTAATTTGGTTGGTGTTCACTAATTTTGTGATTAATATTATTGGAACCAGAAATTGAAGACTCGAGTGGTGAAGAAGAATGTTAATCCCGAATGGAATGACGACTTAACGCTATGTGTTTCTCAACCTATTCTCCCAATCAAGCTGGTAATTTCCTTCATTTTGTTTGATTATGAAATTAATTAGTAAAATATACTTTGCTTTACCAAGAGGAAATTAAACAATAAGACGCGTAAAAAGACGGCCTTTAGCAGAAAACTAGATATATTATCATGATTTATAGTATTTTTTAAGCAATTTTTAAATATATAAAATTTTAAAAAATAAGACAAATAAATTAAAACGGAGAAAAAAATAGGTAAATATATATATGTAAGTGTGGAACCACACAGGTGAAGCAGGCTGACCGCCACATGTGCGGTTATCCACGCTTATATAAGTAGTAGATTTTTTTGTCTCACTTTATGTGACATAGATAAAATTTAGAGAGTCAGTTAAATTTTGATATGATTTATAAATATTTTAAGTTGTTAATTATTGTAATTTTTACGTAATTTTTAAATAATAAATGTTACCTTTCCTTGACCCAATATATATAGCACAAATAGAATTTCAAGAGTCAATATGTTGTTAATTATTGAGATTTACAATACTTTTTATGTAGTTTTCAAATTAAATAATACATGTTACTTCTTTTGTCCCATTTTATGTGACACGAATATATTAATTTTAGTTGTCAATTGTCATGATTTATAATATTTTTTATGCGATTTTTAAATATATTAAAAATTAAAAAAATAAGACAAACAAATTAAAATGAAGAAAAAAGTAGACAAATATATTATGTAAGTGTGGAACCACAGAGGTGAAGCAGGCGTGCTGACCTCCACCTTTGTGGTTATCCACATATATATAAGTAGTAAATATCCATACCTGATACCAACTGTATCAATTCAGTCTTTGAAGGTAAATTATGCTTTCAATTTCAACCACTACAATAAAAATAACTTTTGGCGGCAATAAATATTGACATTAATAAAGAGTGTTAAAGTCTTTACCAGCATTAGTTAAGTGTCATTAGAATCAATGTAGCTAAAGGTTTTAGGGACATATACAAAGAGTGTTAATTGCCGCTAAAAATACATATTTAAAGACAATTAGCAATTAATTGTCGCTAATGATCATTTTTGATGTAGTCAACTGAGATGAAAATAAAATGTGTGGGTGCGCTACACTTTCCCATTTAGTCCAAGTTACTTTTGAATGGGCCAATGACCCACCAATTTATTAAGTCAGTCTATTTTGATCGCCCGAAATTCAGCCTAACCTGTCCATGACTGATGACACTGCGCTAGTGTACATGACCTCTACAATTTCAATAGTTTATATTGACTTGTTTTTAAAATTAATTAATATACCCAGAGAAGTGAATGTTTCTATTGCTGTCATCTGCAGCAAGTTTATGACAAGGATACATTTTCTCGCGATGATAAAATGGGCGATGCAGAAATTGACATTATACCATTTATAGATGCAGTAAGGATGACACGCTATAAGAACATCCCCAATGGAGTCATAATTTCCAGAATAATGCCTAACCGGCAGAATTGCTATTCAGAAGAAAGCTGTATTGTCTATGAAAATGGCAAGGTTGTCCAAAACGCGTTTCTTAGGTTGAGGAATGTTGAGCGTGGTGAAATACAACTCCAGTTGCAATGGATACACGTTCCTGGTTCCAAGAATCTATAGCTATTTCTATTCCAGTTACTATGGCCATTATGTACAGTATGCTTGCCCTGTGTTTTTTTTTTTGGAATTTTAATTGCCGGCCTTGTAAAGAAAGCTAGATTTTGTATTTATCTATATGAATATTGATGTTCCATTAAAATGAACTTGTCCTTTTGTTGTTGTTGTTGCTTACATGCTGATAACAAAATATGACTACATAATCGATTGTATTTCTGTATTATTTTGGCTTGTGTGCCCATTAAAGAGAGAACCAATCCCTGCCATGACTTAATTCATTGTTAGTGTTCAAACTTGAGACTACTGATTAAAAGTAGAGGTAGCACTTTTTTCATTGTTAGCCTCGAACTTGAGACTGTTGATCATTAAAGGTAGACGTATCGTATTTATCCCATCACAATATTTAACTACAAAATGTATTAAAATGCTATGCCCAGCTTTACCGTCTCTGAGCATAAGTTGGTCCAAAATGTGGCCAAGTTACTCCCAATGATAATTTCAGCAAATGATGACGATGTGAAGGTTATTGTTCTGTTTCCACTCTGGCAAAGAATAGACCTAAAGGCCTAATTACTCCATTTGCAAGAAATGTCATCACAATCTTAAAATCATTAAATACAAAAGCTAGTGACAGATATTCAAATCCTTTATCTTTTAGTAGGATGTTTGGTATTCTTTTCAATATTTTTAGTTTTGACACATCTAGTAAAATTCAAAAAAATTCCAAGCATGTAATTCATCATTCATATACTAGTATTTCTCGTCCAATTTATATTTTAAAAACTATACACCTGATTGAATATATCTGATTATCACAAGTCGATTTAACGTCCAAAATGGAGCAACGTTAAAATAAAAATACATAGTGCACAGGTAGAAAAAGACACAAATTTGTGACGAGATGTTAAAATTGGTCTTGGATCTAATTCACAAAAAAACTAGTTTAAAGAGAGGAGGATTACTTAAATCTTATAATGAGATCACTCATCTCATTAACTATTAAGAGTTTTTCATTCTTCAATAGCCCACTTCACCATTAGTCATCAGTCATCAATGTGAAACTTTTTCATTCTTCAACACTCATCTCACTCTGAGGGCAACATTTGGTGTGTGAACAATTTTAATTTGGGCATCCAACATCATGGTGAGATGGGTCCTATTTTAATACCATATAGAAATTGACCTTGGGCCTACCTCACAAGTCACACCTAAAAGCTAGCTTAAAGGGAAAAAAATGTTGGAGACATATAAAAACAATTGTTTTCTAAAGGATGTAAGCTATAATTCAAACCACGTTAAATCTTGTGTTCTTTTCTTTTACACTTCCACTATAACATGCAAGTACTATATTTGGATGAGCTTCTAAAAAAATAACTTATATATAAGTCAAAAGTTAAAAGTCATAAGTAGAGGGTACACTATTTTTGACTTATTTTAAAACTTTTTGGCTTAAAAGTAAGTGCTTGAAAACACTTTTCAACCTTTCCAAACACCTTCAAAATAAAATAAAAAAAATATTTAAAAATAAAAAATACCTAAAAATAAATTAATCTAAACGACCACTAAGTCAGGTGTGCATGTATATACAGTGTGTACTAGACTTCTAACTGACTATATATGCATGGGATCAGGAGTGCTCCATCCATACACAAGATTGTGATGTCTGAACTCGCCTTTTGGTGGATTTCTTAATTAGACTTTGCTTGTGGATGGATATGTAACCCTATGCCAATGACTTAACTTCTGACTGTTAAGGAAATTATATATCATCCATTTTCTTTGTATGATTTCCTGAATTATAATGACATCAAAAACATTTTGATCCTTTCGTTTGTCCACGTCTCATGTTTCTTTAATTGCAACATAGTGGTCACTTTTCTATTTTGTAGTATAAGTATATGTTGAAAAGGGTAATTGTTCACCCCTAAAAAATTTTGTCATTACAATCTCGCATCCATATGCTGCTTTTGAATAAATTAAAATATTATTATCAAACTATTATCAATAAAGCAAAATTTTAAATAATTAATGAATTGATCTACCCAAATTAACTTGAATACCATCTTTATTTTTTTAAAAAAAAATTGAAATGGAAAGCAATGATGAAGTAAGGAATAAAAGGAAGAGGAAAAAGGGTAGGAAAGAGAGGGTCCAAATTTAAAGAGACCGTATTTACTATTTAGTCCTCCATAAATATGTTTGTTAAAGAAACATTGCATGTTAAATTTGTCGCATATTGACTGACGCGATGCTAATTGTCTTTTTTGCGCTATTCTCATATACTTATGAGTTTGACTTGATTTATTGGTCATTTTTTAATATAAAATATGTTGGTGTTGATACAAGGCAATTTTGGGGAGACTTTTGGGCGGAGTATAGTGAAACCACATTGAGACGAATTGTGGAGCTGAAAATATCATGAGACATAAATCCTATCATTTTGGATGTATGCTTAGGTGAGACGCGTTTTTCTTTTGAGACGTAAGCTTAAAGAACTTTTCCTAATTAAAAGTGTTGATAAGTTCTTAAATTAATTCCAACACTTAAAATATAACTTATTATTGTTCGGACGAACCTAATAATTTTTCTGTAGACCTTATATATATATATATATATATATATATATTAGGGCCCGTTTGGTCATGCGATATGGAATCATGACATGGTACCATAATATGTAATCATGAGATGAAATTGAAGTTTTGTTTGGACATGCGATATGAATTTTTTGTGTTATATATTTTCTCATACTCATAAGGATCACATAAGTTGTAAAACTATTAAAATAACCCCAATTGTTTATTCAATCTTACCAAATAAACAAAAAATTATAAAATCGCATAATAAATTATTACAAAGCTATTTGTTTCCCACCTAAGTAACTGTTTCATCAAACTTTAATTCAATAAAAAAAATTGAACATAAATTGTAGTGAACTAGTCTTTTATATAATCCTCCCACATAATACGGACAATTTCTTCACGTTGAACTTACATTTCTCGATCATGTGACCGAGAAGACAACCAACATTGTTACTTTGAGCCATTTTTTGGTCAATATCATCCGCAACTATATTTTCACGATCATAGACCATAAATATTTCATTACTCCTTTTCTCCTTTTCGCAAATAATTATGTAACACTACACAAACTATGACAATTTTCACTTGTGTGTCAATATCATAATGGTTCATGCCTTGTTTCAATATTTTGAATCTATTTTTCCAAGCTCCAAAAGTCCGTGGAGTTGTTTTAATAAAATATAAACTTGTGGATCAATTTTTGTGTTTAAAAAATCTCAAATCATGATATGGAATTCCCATATAATTTCATATCATGATTTTTGGAGAATATGGTATTCCATATCATGATATGGAATCATGAGATGGACTCAGCGTGAAATCGCATGTCTAAATGTTGATTCCATATCGTGATATGATATCACATGGCCAAATGCCTATTTAATTTATGAACCTTCTAACAAATTTAATTGATGTCTTAGTGGTAAGGAAGAGATGGTAAAAATACTTTTCCATGCTGGGTTTGAACCTCTATCGTATCAACAAAAGTTGTTTCGTATTTAGTAAAGATATTGAGGGGTAACGTGCTAGATATTTCTTGACATCTTTGTCATTCCTTTCTGGTGTACACTTCCTATTTTTCAAACTTTTGCAGTTCTGTAGACCCACTCCCCTGCCTATACCCTTCCAAGGTTTTAACTATAAAGCTACCCACTTCTGCAAAATCAATCACTACAAGTTTTAAAGGATTACATGGAGAATCAGTTGGGTCTTCTGAGAGTTCGTATCATCAGAGGCATCAATTTGGCCATTAGAGACTTAAGAAGCAGTGATCCATATGTTGTTGTTACCATGGGCAAACAGGTAATTTCCCCCTTCTCTTCTTCACTCTTTCAGTTTCACCTCATTTCTCTTTTTCTTTATTCAAAATTGCGTAACCTCAGATTTCTCTGTGTTATTTTTAATTATAAAATCAGGATTTGAGAAAACAAAGCTTGTTTATCGTATCTCTCGTTTTGTTGTTTGTTTGTGTGTGTGTGTAGGCGGAGATTTATGTAATTGTTGACCATTTTCAGTTTATACAAAAATTTGTCATTCAAATTGTGGTGGGAGTTGCTGAACTGCTTTGTTAATTTTGTGTTTGATATTATTGGAACCAGAAATTGATGACTCGAGTGGTGAAGAAGAATGCTAATCCCGAATGGAATGAAGATTTAACGCTATGTATTTCTGAACCTATTCTCCCAATCAAGCTGGTAATTTAATTTTGTTCACGTTGTTAAATTATGAAATTAATTTAAATATACTTTGATTTATCAAGAGGAAATTAAATGATAAGACGCGTTTAGAAAGCAGCCTAAAACTGTATCAATTCAGTTTTCGAAGGTAAATTATGCATTTGAAGTTCAACTGCCTTGTTCTAGTTATAATTCATATTCATCAAGTGTCGCTACGTGTAGGGAGATAACCCAATTTGACCCTCCCATTTATTAACTGGCTATTTGATCCGCCTAAATTCAATCGCTCTATTTGACACACCGACTTAAAGATGACCTTCACAATTTAATTCAGTAGCTTATATTGTGTTGCTATTCTTGTCATTGCAGCAAGTTTATGACAAGGATACATTTACTTGCGATGATAAAATGGGCGATGCAGAACTTGACGTTGTACCATTTATAGATGCAATAAGGATGACGCGCTTTAATAACATCCCCAATGGAGTCATACTTTCCAGAATAATGCCTAGCCTGCAGAATTGCTATTCAGAAGAAAGCTGTATTGTGTATGAAAATGGCAAGGTTGTCCAAAATATGTTTCTTAGATTGAGGAATGTTGAGTGTGGTGAAATACAACTCCAGTTGCAATGGATAGACGTTCCTAGTTAATTCTGTTCCAGCTTATATTGTGAGAATAGCTAGATTCTGTATTTATCTATATGAATATTAAATGAACTTATCCTTTTGTTGTTGTTTTTGCTTACATGCTGACAACAAAATCTGCCTCTGATTACTCAAATCTATTGTTTTTGGCTTCTCAGTTCTCACTAGTGTTTGGTATCCGCTTTGAAGAGAGTCGTGTTGCGTGCCCATTAAGGAGAGAACGCCTCCCTATCATGACTTTATTATTTTCAGCACTAGAACCTCGAAATCTTGGGTTAAAAATAGAGATGTACCATTCATCACACAAAAACCATAGGTGCTTCCAAAATGAATTCAAATGTTATGCGTAGCTTTACTCTGTCTCTGAGCAGAAGTTGGTCTAAAATGTGGCTCCCAATAGTTCCTTCAGCAATATGTATAAATCATTGTTCTGTTTCCATTCTGCCAAAGAATAGAACCTGGAGGATTTGGATATGAGCCAAAAAGCAATGCAAGCGACGAGGTTTGGAAAATTGCAATTTGTTATTACTCCTTTCACCTAATTTGCTCATTCTTCTACCTATTGGATAAAAAATGTTACTATTAAAAATGATTCAAATTTAGGACTAGATAAACCAACAAAACTTAGGACTAGAATCTAGATGAAAGGTTTTCTTGCAGGGCAAATTAAAGTGGGATAAAGAAAATTGATTTTTTAAGAAATAAAAAGGGGTATAAGGGCAACTTTGTCCATATATGAACTATTTTATAAAGGAAATATGAAGGGAAATTCACACCATTTACACATTTAAGAGTAAATTTTACGGGTTTTAAACATACTTTTAAATAATTCTTACTTATAACAGCTTATTTACGGGTTATGACACATCAATTTAATTTAATTTAATTTAAAAATCAATTTCAATTTATTTAATAAATGATTAATCTGTTTATATTTTTATATTATTTTATATTATTAATTAATAACATTTAATTAATTTGATTTCAATTCCTTTTTTAAAACGGAAATCATCAGTACACATATTAAGGGATTTACATAGATTAGACTTCCTTGTTTACTGTTACACTTCAAACCTCTCATACCTCAATCCCACCACCCTCCACCCACGCCTATTCAAATCCACTTTCACCTTGTCTCTCCCATTTTTCTCACCAGCCAACTACACCATTTTCACAATCGTCCGTCCAATTAAGTTTTTCAACAAAATCATGTCTAAGAAACCCATTGAAATGCCTCGAAAGAGTCCCAGATTGGTTGAAGGAACTTCTATTGATGAAGTTCATGCTCCACTTGATATCAAGCATATGATGCATGTTCATCAACAAGAAGATAGTTTCAAGTATGTATTTCTTTACTTTACTGTTTTCATTAGAAAAGGTAACTTAATTTATTTCCTAAAATATTTTTTCTTTCAATTTTTTTCAGTGATTATGGTTTGTTCTATTTGCTGAATACATCAGTAATGATGTTTTTGATATGCATTTTGTTGATATCGATGCAAAGTACCATCGTCAAAGGTATGCCACAATCCTATGTCATTATGGAAAAATAAAGAATGGGGATGGTGCGATCAGTGAGAGTGAAGTTATTGGTACGGTTGCTAGCAAATTTGATGGACCTCACATAACAAAAGAATACCACCAATTATCCTACACCAAGACCACGAACAAGAAATTTGAGATAGTTGATTGCACCTTCTATTTTTTTAGAATTACATGTTATTTTTTTTAACTTTTGGACAATTTTTTTGTGTTTAAGTACTTGATGATATATAATATCATATGTTTTCTTCCAGTCAGATACCATCTACATATGAATTACTGATTGACTATTATAATTTCAGGATACTAGCATAGTAATATACAAACTTCATACTAATTGGATTCAATTTTTTTAAAATATCAATGTGTTTTCAAACTGTATATTTATTGGATGAAATGCATATGAAATCTGATTAATATTTGTATGACTATGACTTTAATGTTTTGATTTTGAATATTGTATAAATTGAGATATAATATTGGTATACAAATGATATGAATTGTATTTTAACATTAGTGTGATTGTCTATTAACTGTGTATATGGTATGAATTTTTAAACTGGTATGAAAATGGTATGAATTGTCAAACTAGTGATTTTTTCTAAAAATATCACACTAATGCTTACTTTCTATTCTAAACATGTTTTTGGATGAAACATGTATGAAATCTGATCAATACGTGTATACCTCCGACATTAATGTTTGCTTGATGATATATAATATCATATGTTTTCTTCCAGTCAGATACCATCTACATATGAATTACTGATTGACAATTATAATTTCAGGATACTAGTAATATACAAATTTCATACCAGTTGGATTAACTATTTTTAAAATATCACTGCGTTTCCAAATTATACATTTATTGGATGAAATGTGTATGAAATCTGATTAATATTTGTATGACTGTGACTTTAATGTTTTGATTTTGGATATTGTATGAATTGTGATATAACATTGGTATACAAATAGTATGAATTGTGTTTTAACATTAGTGTGATTGTCTATTAACTGTGTATATGGTATAAATTATTAAATTGGTATGAAAATGGTATGAATTGTCAAACTAGTGATTTTTTCTAAAAATATCACATTATGCTTACTTTCTATTCTAAACTTGTTTTTGGATGAAACGTGTATGAAATATGATTAATAAGTGTATGCATCCGATTTTAATGTTTGATTGTTGGATATTGTATGAATTGTGATATAATATTGGTATACAAATGGTATGCATTGTGTGATTATATGAAATTGATTTATTGTTGGTATAATATGTGTGATATAAATTGAAGTTAGTGTTAGAACGAAACTTGAACAAGATTGGTAAAAAAAATGTTTTAATTTTGTTTATAGTAGGACACCAATTGAAACCAAATTAATATTCATGATAACTTACATTAAATACTCAGGATACCAAATGCATTACATAATTACCTTGTATAATTATCACTATATTAACACTATCTTATATATTAAGCTCGAATAAATTTTATTTCCAGCAGTATGAAATTTGTATGATTAATGAATGAAACACATATAAAAAATGAACAGTATATTAAACACTTAGGTATAATGCATTTCACACCAATTATGTTTCATATCAAAACAAAACATGAGTCATAAAGTCAAAATAAAATTAAAATTTTATACAGTCTAAACAAATAAATAATCATTTTTTTTGCACAGGATAATTTGAATATGTCGTCCTGTTGTGGCCAACTTGACGACATCTACTGCAAGTAACTCTAGATGGTTTGAATTGCATATCAGCAAACCCGTTCCAGCGTTCAAGTTGCGGTCTTCCTACCGTTCTTTTTGGACTGGGCGGCATCAATTTAGGCTCTGAAACATAACTTGGTATATCCCATGTACTCTCGCATGGGAGAGGTTCAACCATCTATCATAAGTTGCGATGTTATCACACTTACTAGACCACTATAAAGACTAGAAGATTCATATATAATCCCTCCATCTGAAAATCAACATATTTTCGGGTTTCATTAAAAAAAATAACAACTAGTCATCCAAAGAACATACAAATTTCATCCGCAAAATTCATTATAATAACAACAAAATTATACACACTTGTCATTATCTTTTCATGCAAATGTCATTCAGACAGTACTCTACAAAACATATTTCAAAAAAATAATATTTCACATTTCATACCCACTTAATACATATTCCACATAAACAATCATCACTCATACCAAATTTATACACAATTGACAAAACTTATATAAACAATAAAATTTCAAATTTTATACCACTTAAAACCTTTTCATACATTTCTTCAAAATTCTAAATAACTTTTTTTAAACATTACTGAACACACTTTCATACCAAATTCATTCCATTTATACTATCAAATTCATTCAAAACTATACATTTAATTTATATTTTCAGGAAAAAAAACAGTATTCAGTAGTATAATCTTAATCTACGAACCCAATCTACAATGATAAGCATATTTATATGCTATACATTTATGCTCAAATAATTCATATATTACGCTAATTTTTCACGAAATCAATGTTTTAACATTTTACAAAATAACCAAAAAACAAAAAAAACAAAAAAAAATAATCTTACCAACACAGTCACTAATATTACAGTTTCACAACAATTAATACATATTATGAACAAAATGTTTTGTTTATAAAAAAAAACTAAAAAATTAACTATAGTGACGATTTACAAAAATAAAATCACATAATGTGATTTACAGTTTCATTGTTTTTTTTTCATTTCACTGAAATACAAAAACAAATTATAAACAATAACAAATACTAACCTGAAGGATCCCATCTTCCACCATGTTTAATTAATATTGATATGTAGTCGTCCATCACAACAAAAGCAAGATTTTTCAAACAAAAAAAACTTCAATTAGTCGATAGTGACAAGATTTCTGGAAGAAAACCGAAGAGAGAGAAACGTGGGAGAACAATGGATAAAATCAATTTTTTAAAATTAAATTTAACAAATTAGAGTGAATTAAGGAAACTGAATATTCTTAATTATTTTGAATTTCCTTAATTCATGCTAATTAATAATTATATTCAATCATTTCAAATCTAATTAACACCTCTATTTCCGTTTTTTTACCTTTTTTTAATTCCAAAAACGTTTTATTTTAATTTTTTTTATCTTTTTATTTTTTTCAAAACAAATGTTTTCAATTATTAAAAACAACTTTTTTTTTAATAAACTGTTAGAACCTGAAATTTTTAATGTTACAACTTGAAAGTTTAATTTTACTGCTATAATTTGAAAATATTAGTCTAATATATGTCATATATTAAATTTTCACATATACGAATGTGCATGACTTTAATTTATAGTATGCAAGTAGTATTTGATTTTGAATTACAAGGGTGTATCTAAAACTGAGTGATATTATAGATATAACTAGCGTAATTTACCAAAAAATGTATAGCGCGCTACTAGAGAAAACACATTTTTTTGATGGACCATTCATGCAAGATAAACGATAAGTCCGTCATAATTTTGTAATGGTTTTTTTTATTTTTTTTACGGTTTTAT